CTCGTTAAATACGTTTTGAAACAACTCGTTGTAAGATAAATGGTATCTGACAGACGCTCGTTTAGTAATCTCTATATACAGTAATGTTCACTTGGCTGCATGCAGCAGTGATCAAACCTCCAACATAGGCCGAGGCTGAGTATCCAGGGTGACAAGTTGAGATCTTCATAAAACTGCTGGTCTTCTCGTTTCTGAAACTACACAGCTTTCTGGAAATGCCTATGCGGTTGTAGTACCTACCAGACCTCTCAATCTAAAAATAACACGTCTAAATATAGCATTCCACTGGCCCCCTCATCAATATCAACAGAAACAATATGTTTCCCGGATATCTGAATCTCATCAATTACCCTCTTGCCCAGATGGAAGTAAGTAGGACTCTATTGAACATCGCCTGCGAAATCATCCCTATTTCCTCCACGAAGACGGTAAACGAGCAAATGATAAGAAATGTGGTTTCTAAAAGACCGAAATTGGCGTTTACACTGTACTGGACACAATGATTTACCATTTAAATTGTGTAGCCTGCTCTCCATGGCATAGTTTCTATTATATCATACATAAAGGTTCAGAGTGACAAAACACTCTCCACAAGGCTGTATGACAAAAGAGATGATTTCTCAACTTTCCACTTGTCAACGTTCCTTCCATGTCCTGCAATATTCCAATAGTTCCAGCCTTTAGTGTTTACATTTCACAACTGTAGGCCTCTTTGAACATCGCCTGCGAAATCATCCTATTTCCACGAAGACGGTAAACGAGCAAATGATTAGAAATGTGGTTTCTAAAAGACAGAAATTGGCGTTTACACTTTACTGGACACAATGATTTACCATTTAAATTGTGTAGCCTGCTCTCCATGGCATTGTATATATTATATCATACCTAAAGGTTCAGAGTGACAAAACACTCTCAACATGACAAAAGGGATGATTTCTCCACTTCCCACTTGTCAACGTTCCTTCCATGTCCTGCAATATTCCAACAGCTCCAGCCTTTAGTGTTTACATTTCACAACTTTTGAGGTACAATCGAGCATGTTCTGTTGACCAAGATTTCTAAGAGTGTCATACCACTCTTGCTCAGAATCTGTTCGATCACGGTTGCAACATTCGAGGCCTCATTATAGTTTTCAAAAAATCTTTGGTAGACTTGTTGAGGACACTTTAAAATGTCATGCAACAGTAACAAAAATGATGTCCGATTTAATTGCCTATTTTGACTTGTACCACACGTTCCTGTGAACAATATACTAAACTTCGAATATGTTTAACCTTTATCATACCGGTACTAGGTCCCATTGTCAGAAACACTTCAAATTTACAGGAGAGTCTCATAAATGGTTTAACTAAGAAAAACCCGAAATTTCATACTGATATCTCGAACGGTTCCAGAGATACAGGTATGTTCCCATATGGCAACATTAGCAGGATCATCGTGAAAATGAAACAAAATTATATTTTTGCAACACATCTTTTATTTCTTTGAAATTTAGTGAACAAAACCTTCTTCAACACATAAATCGATGATGCAGAAATATTCCAGGAAGAGCTAGGCAATGAAATAGTTGTTAAACGATCACATGAATTACGATGATGGGTTTTCTTCCCAAAATTTCAGCGACCAAAATCATGTAGCAAGTGTTCTTGAATGTTGGTCCAGCCTTGTCACCAGGTCATCTGGTTCTAATGGGGGATTTCAGTATCCATGTTGATTCTGTGTCTGACTCCTTTGCTAAATCCTTCTGTGACATCTTTCAATCTCCTACAACACGTGTCTGGTCTAACTCACCGTTCAGGTCATACATTAGACCTAGTCTTAACCAAGGATAGTTTATGTTAGTGACAAACAGATATCTGATCATTCACTTATTCAGTTTTCTGTCAAATTTACTACACCTAAGCAAGTGAGAAAAGAAATTAGCTACAGGAAGACTTGAACTATAGACATTAGACAGTTTTCTAATGACACTGAATCTTCTGAGCTGCTACAGTCACTCTCTGATTCTTGTGGAGTTGATGATCAGACTGATGTGTTAACTACTTTTATAGAACGTTTCCGGTTGAAAACACGTTTTTGGGGCATGCTTGGACCCTCGTCAATTCTTGTTAAAGAATCAAAAGTATGAAATATTAGGACATTAGCAATTATCTTAAGATCATTATAGACAAAAAACATTAATTTATCTTCACGCATCAAAAAAGTTACAAGGCATTTTATGACATGTTCCCATATGGGAACATTGGCATGAAAAAGGTTAAGGCGGGTGTCGCAATGAACTAATCACTCACATTGCCAGCACATCCCTACGAGTACCCATTTTACAGCTGGGTGAACTGAGACAATGTGGATTTAAGTGTCTTGTCCAAGGATGCTACGCAAATGTGCCTACCTTATGACCCGAACCAAGGTGCCACCAGCGTGATAGGCAGACGCCTTACCACTGCACTAATGCGCTCCAGGGACAATCATTGGATTGTCTGGTCCAGACCTGATTATTTACAAACAGCCGCCATATAGCTGGAATATTGCTGAGTGCGGCTTCAAATTAAACATGCTCACTTACTTCACACAATCACCATTACAGTGGATTTTGTACAAACGTTTTACGTTTTGTATTTTAATCAGATGTGTTAAAGATTGTAGACATAAATACATACAGAACATAGGAAGTAGATCTCTACTGTACCAAGTACATGAAATATATAATCAATTTGACAAAGGTAGAAAATAGCTGGGGAAGAATATTCAGCGTCATGTCCGTCATCACTGGTTTGTAAATATTACAGCCAGTCGAGTTCAATTCCAATCACGGTTGTGGCCGCCTGTAACAATGAGGTCCTGCAACGACAGTACAGAGCGCTGTTCGCATTATCGCTGTGAGGAGACTGAGTACTTTAGTCGTATTGTATCGTGTTAGCCTATGTGTAATATACTGTGAGCGAGTGAGTTTAGTTTTACGCCACTTTGAGCAATATTCAAGCAATATCATGGCGGGGGGACACCAGAAATGGGCTTCACACATTGTACCTATGTGTGGAATTGAACCCGGGTCTTCGGCGTGACGAGCGGACGCTTTAACCACTAGGCTACCCCACTGCCCCATGTCTAATATACAACCAAAGTGACGCAAGAAACTGATCCAACAAACCATTTTTAGTTTAGTCCTGAGAGACACACAAGCTAGATCAATGTGAATCAAACTTGGACTCGAACCAAGAAGATACACCCCATTCCAATTATTCAGTATCAAATATAAGTTTCGATTCATTTAAGTGATTTCAAGGAGACGGGTCAGTTATCATTTGCGACTGGTCAATTAGCCATGATGCGTCAACTGAAACACCGAAAACAACGTACATAGTTTCGTGGCGTAGAATGGTGTACAACATGTCTTTGCAGGCAGAAAGTAAACACCTGATGTCCAGAGAGACAGCAAGGCTTGACCTGGAACCATTTTATGACTTGTCAACGTTGTCAGCCTGGCATTAGTGTGATCTACCGTTGTGACCTTTAGACCCTATCGGCGAGTTCACTGACCAATTTGCCTCCGACTGCTTGGTCAAGGTCAACGTTCGCAAAGACGCAAAAAGGTGACTGAACTCCCCAAAACACTATTTTCATAAACCGTGAAAGAACTCCTTTATTAGGATTCTTTCTCTTGAACATGACTAGCATGCACAGCTTCACATATTGAACCTAGAATATGTACGTTAATAAGCATCAATGATGTACAAGTTATATTAGAGCAAAGGTTTACGCACAATAAATAGTTGGAATAAGTCTACGTGTCTTTCTGTGAAGAACGTAATAGCTTGAAAAGAAGTTGTGAATTTGAAAGCGAAAAGGAGCCAGATCTTTCCGTACTATTCGAAAGGGTCAAACGGTGGCTCCTTGATTGCGCCTACATTCAATTTGATACTTACAATAATTTTCGTATTTGTATGTTTCGTTCCCCCTCAAACGACATACACGTATAATAACGTATCACTCACCATCGGATGCAACATTGTCTAACGGTAGACCAGATTAACATTACGATTGTTCATTGTGTAAATACCCGAAATAAACGCATTTTGTTTCTTTTGTATAGCTGTGTTTAACGTATACTGCACCAGCGGTTACAACGATTAATACATTAGTGAATCATTAAACCATTTCCTTATGTAATGATCTATAGTCACGCATAGTGACTCATTACACCATTTCCTTATGTAATGATCTATAGGCACGCAGTCCGTGTTTACTGTTTTTTTCTAAATGATTTTTTCTTACTTTGCACTTAAACAATTTGACGGCAGTTTGTAAATATTCGAGTCTGGAAGCGAGTTCAGTAATTAATATCATGGACATCGATCTATGCAGTCGACAGCATAGCCAGCGAGTCTGACCATCTGACACGCTGCGTTACTGAAGAACAAGTAATATACCGATCATCACAATAAATCATTCAAGACAAAATGAAGTTTGCTTTTTGATATTGATATACTTCAAAGTTTATACAGCACAGCTGTTACGTATAGTTAATACCTGTAGCATAAATAATATATTTAAATATTTATGATGGTATCACTCAGTGCTAACCTTACCCCCATTTAACCTTCGTTTGAACCATGGCTGTTGTTTACTCAGTGAAGTAAAATCTCAAGAATGCCTTTTGGGACAGCCTCATCTTGGATGGTGGATAGCTTCGAATTATAGGACTTCAACTTAATGAGACATTTATGGCTATTTCGTGCGATCCATCTCGTCCAGCTTCTTCGTGGACAGTTCAAGCTCTTAGTATGTACACGAGGTCATTAACACGCATGTCTAAACTAGATACAACACCTGTACAACAAGGTCAACAATAACGTCAACAGCTATTGTTTATGAAATCAGATTCATTTGCATGTTTGAAGTTCCGGTTAGGCTGTTCTTGCGCGACCTTGTTGCCATTTGCGCGCTTGACGTGGTATTTAAAGACAGATTCTAGACAAACAACGTCAGTTGAATGTCATTGTTGTTTGTATCTGGACATAGCTGCTTCAAAAAGGTAGGTAACTATTTCATTATTGTCTTCTTTGTAATCAAATAGATCACAGCTTGTTCCTAAGAACTAGTTCATGACAAGAAAAGTTATAACAATCATCCTTGTAAGCTAATTGGAAATGTGCTGGTGTCAGACAAGTTTAAAAAGTGTTTAGATTGGATTGGATCTTGAGAATTATTTTTGTTTTAACTTTTTGCTAATTATTCTAATATTTTTTTACATGGGTCTTTGGACACATCGGCGACAAAACGGACCAACAAAACTGTTTCTATTACTACAAGGAATCTCTGCTGAAACGGAATCTGTTGTACGATTCTGGCAATAAGTGAAATGATGCAATTTAATATTTGTAGTTGTAATATATGCTCACCTGAAATACGCAATACTTGCCTTGCCTTGGTATGTGTTTGTGCCCGGAGCCACATTCGTGACGGGTTACGGTGAATCCAGTATCATCACCACCTCATAGTTATTCATAAATACATGTTTCTGGTACAATTGTGTCATAAACTTTTTCTCAACGGCGATTCAGTACGATTACAGTTTTGTTTCGTTGCTCATATTTTCCACTCGGCTTGGCGGAATGTATACGTGGGAAGATAATCATTTAATATATTAAGATAATTGCACAGTAAATATAAAATGTCTTGTAAAGGAAAGGTAGTGTTTGATAACTATGTTTGTTGCTTCTGATACAGTGGTGAGAAGAAATGGAACCGAGATGCATCCTCATCCTTCTCCTGGTTGCCATCTGCTGCAGTCTGGTAGAATGCACATCTCTGCGTAAGACGTCTTGTATAATTATCCTATTTCCTGTGTGAGAGGCATTTAAAAGTTGGATCAATGAGGAAACATGACAATATATGGATGAACAACTTCTTTATTGCAGTGAGAGCGACGTTTCGGTGTAGGTTCTAGCACCGTTCTAGCTCTCCCTCATTGTAATAAAGAAGTTGTATTGTCATCCTTCCTTAATCATCTGATTGTTTGTCACGGGTGGTCCGGTAGTTTGAGGCGCAACAGTTACAAGTGCATTGTTGCGTTACTGCTTGAAACATCGGCGTTGTTTCGAATCCATCATACCAATTTGATTTTGTGTCCATTGTCAACATATTGTTAAATCTAGTGAGTTTCACCACATCAAGCTGTTACAGCGACGGATAACTCACTCACTTGATAAACATGAACTTGCATCTACATCGCCGTAACATGCTGAATATGTAGACAGGGCCGTGGAGCCTCAATGTACTGGGAGACTACATGCTTGCTATGTTTGTGTGTATGGTTTATTATTATCGTCACTTGCTATATTACTATCTCATTATTTTTTATGTTGCCAGGAAAACGGAGATTCGCACAACAACAGCCACAGCCACAGCCACAGCCACAGCCACAATCCCTTGGACAGAGTGAGTACATCTACCTCTTACTCGATACAACAGTAGATGATGCTTGTGTAATGGCTGTTTTTAAATATTTTTCTAGAACACCTTGTGTTACGACTGATCTTCAGAAATCCATTCGCAGTAGTAACGGGATTTTACGCTTATTAGCGCCTGTCTCGGTTGGCAATCGACGTTGGTTATTTCTGACGTTCACATTCTGGTATAAATCACATACTGTAGACACAAAAAAACAACAGTTTTTACTCCAATTGTTGATGAATGTTTACTTCTCTGAGTGGCATTTTTAGAAGTTGGGAAGTACAGTATAGACAGACTTTATGGATAACAACTTCTTATTTCGTGAGTGCGACGTTTCAATACATGTAATTGCATCACGGTACAAGAGTCTGTAGCGAAAAGTCGCACTCACGGCATAAAAGAGTTGTTATCCATAAAGTTTGTGCATATTGTTCATAAAGTTATTCGTATTAATACACGTGCAAACCCCAACACGTAATACAAGCTCGTTCTTCTTGTACAAAGAATTGTAAAAGTCACACAAATCAAATCCGTTGTACGATTCCTTCAGGTTTTAATGACTCACTATCGCTGAGTGATGATACCACGTGTTCCCGAAAAAGCTTGAATGTACCCTGCGCTACCGGTGATATAAATCACAAATACATTCAAAGGCTTGTCAATGTTCTACCTAAACCTTCGGGAAGATGAACACATATCTCATAAATGATAATTGTCAGAACCATCTCTCTTTTCACTGTTTCCTTTTAATTTCAGATTCCGCAAACACAGGCCTTAGAAACCTGCTTCTTCAAGGTCAAAATCGAGTCCAAAGTCAGGACCCTGGCATCGGTGGTACCACGTATTCGTTACAGAATAGGTCACCTGTGCCAGTGTATCAACCATACTATGCCAACTACCAACAAGGGATGTCTCCATACCAGAGACTCCTTCGGTACTGGATGATGATGAACAGAATGTACGTCCCTGGGATGCAGATCCGTAACGACCCTCGCTTCCCCGGAGGCGGTATCGTCACTGCGGGGGATGGCAGAGATGGCACAGTCGTCAACCGGTACGGAATGAGGGCCACTGTCGACGGCAGGGACATTTCATGGGGTAGCGAGTGGTGAACTTGACATTTCGATGTATAAGCTAGTCATGTGCCGTGAGCATGTTGAATGTTTCTCAAGGCTTCATTCTCAATCATGTCAGAAAAAAACACTAAGCAACATGTACAGATGGAATAGCGAACCGTAGATATATTGTATATTCCCTGATATCAGAAGTCACTTGCCAGCAAGAAACAAAACTATAATCAGCACCTAAGTAAAACATTCGAATTATCCGAGCTTCGACACGTCCGAAAACAGTGAATAAAGGTGCCATGCTTTTACTTGAAGACAACCGTATGTTCAACTCATCAACGTTTGACATAACAGTGCTTGTTGTTCTAACACGTGTCACTCGACATATCATCAACATCATGAACCTTTCAATGGCGCATGATATCTTACCTAAACATTTTATAAACAAACAATTTGCATGTTGTCCATCTAGTGATTAAGATGTTAACTTCATTGTCTTTTCAGTCGTAAAATACAGGAACCAAACACATTTGATTCTTCATGTTCATAACAAATATATTTTTGTTCATCGGCAAATGAAATACGTTACTGCACCATCATGACAATTACGTTTTCTCCCATCCCACACCCTGGTCGGATAGGAAATTGTATCATGTCAATCAGTTTCATCTAAAAGGGGTTGAATCATTGTTCATTCAGTACACTTGTGGATAATAAAGTTTTTTCTCAGTAAAACTACTTTATCATTTGTCTTGTATTACACCTCAAGGAAAACTGTCCACATTGATGTGCTGTATGTTTGCGACAGATTGTTCCTAGTGATCCCTTGTTTTAGAGTAGACATATATGTACGGCATAATCCATCTAAAAAGCATGATAGAAGGATAAAACACAAAACGTCAACGCTAGATGAGTTTTGATCATGAGCCAAAAAACTTCTCCTGGCGTGACAATCAAATTAGCCGTGAGCAGTACATGAATGGATCAGTGGACATCAATGATGCCATTAAGTGTTCCCAATAGGGTAGCATGTCCGGCCTGTCGGTAGCACGGCTTAATTCACACAATGTACAGCAAAGAATTAGTGTGTCTGATGCACGATACCGCTTAGTAGCGCTCCTGTCTGACAAGGTGATCCGTCATCAGTCAAGTCTCGACCAGATAGTCACAAAGTATTGATGATTTTATGAATATTTTAAGAAATTAAATGAAACGAAATGTGATGATGAAGTCCTCACTGAGAATGACGATAGTGATAACTTTACATTCGATACAAATATTCTCAACGATACCATTACAAGTGATAAAATTGCCTTTGCCATAAAGAACCTAAAAAGAAATAAGGCATCTGGAATAGATTTAGTAGAAAATGATTTTATAATTGATGCTTCAGAAAAGATAATCCCACTTCTCACTACTTTCTTCAACCTGATATTAAATTCCGGAATTGTTTCTGGTTGCTGGCTTAAAGGCACAATTAAACCTATTTATAAGAAGAAAGGTGACCCTATGGACCCAAACTCCTATAGACCCATAACCATATTAAGTTGTTTTGGAAAAGTATTCACTAGTATTTTAAATATAAGACTTTCTCATTTCGTAGAGATAACAACATTTTGTCCCCGTCCTAGTCAGGTTTTCGAAAAGGGTTCTCTGCTTGCGACAACTTATTTGTAATACATATGTTATCCGAAATTCCTAAACATTTCGAAACGAAAACTATATTGTGTTTTCATTGATTACACGAAAGCTCTTGGCACTGTATGGTGAGCCGGTTTATGGTATAAATTATTCAAATATGGTATAAGTGGGAAAATGTTGTCTCTTATAAAAATGTATCATGTTATAAAATCTACCATTATGTTAGATAACCATATTTCATCTTACTTTCCATGTAACACAGGAGTGAGACAAGGTGAAAACCTCTCCCCTTTATTATTCTCATATTTTATATATGATTTAGAATCGTTTCTTTATAGTAAAGGTTGCATAGGAATTATCTTACAACAACTAGATGAAAATAGTATAACAAGCATGATAAGGTTCATACTCATCTTATATGCAGACGATAATGTCCTCGTAAGTGATACCCCAAATGATCTACAACTGTCCCTAAATGGTTTCCATGACTATTGTACTCAGTGGAAGTTGAAAGTTAATCTGTCTAAAACCAAAATAGTTTTCTTTGGAAGTGGTCCCTCTAAAAACTCAAAGAATAAATTACGTTTTACTTATGGGGACAAGCCTGTTGAAATTGCCGATAGCTATACTTATCTTGGTATCAAGCTCCATCGAAATGGAAGGTTTGTAACAGCAATTAATTTATTGTGTGGAAAATGCAACTAAAGCAATGTTTTCGCTGTTGAAAAAAGCTCGTAATTTGAATCTGCCTTTAGATTGTTTGATATCAGCTTTCGATACTATGACAGTCCCTATATTAATGTATGATTCAGAAATATGGGGTTTTGAATGTCTATCGATAATAGAGAAAACTCATTCAAAATTTCTAAAATATGCTTGTGGTCTTCGAAACTCAACCCCCAATGTCATGCTTTATGGGGAATTAGGAAGATAACCACTATATATTAAGATATATAAAAGAATAATTTTATTCTGGCATAAACTAGCTACAAACACTCTTAAAACGAAATTATCGACCCTTTTATTCAATTTCATTATATCTTCTTCTCCAAACACTTTGCCTAAATTGAAATGGTTTAAATTTATCAAAGAGATCTTAGATAATTGTGGACTCTCAGAAATGTATGATTACCCGTTCCTATGTTCATCATAAATTTCTGATTACCCGTTCCTATGTTCATCAGAATGTGTGATTACCCGTTCCTATGTTCATCAGAATGTGTGATTACCCGTTCCTATGTTCATCAGAATGTATGATTACCCGTTCCTATGTTCATCAGAATGTGTGATTACCCGTTCCTATGTTCATCAGAATGTGTGATTACCCGTTCCTATGTTCATCAGAATGTATGATTACCCGTTCCTATGTTCATCAGGATGTATGATTACCCGTTCCTATGTTCATCAGGATATATGATTACCCGTTCCTATGTTCATCAGAATGTATGATTGCCCGTTCCTATCTTCATCAGGATGTATGATTACCCGTTCCTATGTTCATCAGAATGTATGATTACCCGTTCCTATGTTCATCAGGATGTATGATTACCCGTTCCTATGTTCATCAGAATGTATGATTACCCGTTCCTATGTTCATCAGAATTTTGGGTTTCAAAAGTAGAAACAATACTCAAACACCAATATTTACAAAATGGCGATGTGAACTAGCGTCTAGTTCGAAAGGAAAATTTTACCAAAATGTTAAAGACAATCTATGCTTTGAAAACTACCTCTTCCTTCCTAAATCTATACATAGTCCAATTCTTAGATTTAAGTTATCAAATCACAATTTACCGATAGAAACAGGACGCTGGTACATCACTCTTAGAGAAAATAGACTCTGTAACTTTGCGATTCTCCGTCTGTTGGGGACGAATTCCATTACGTTTTTAAAGTCAAGCTCTTCTCCAACAGCGGATGATGTACATCCTAAATTATTTCTATGAATGGCGTAATCTGTTTAAACTTAGACGGCTATTTTCAAAAAACAAAAAAAACATTTGAAAAACGTCGCTAAATTTCTAAATCCTTTGTCAAATGCATTGAAATTGTAAACGAATTGTGATAATAATTTATCTAACTATTCTAGTATCCGCCATCTTGATTTTATATTTATGTTAAACTGTATATCATTATATTCTCATGTTCCACCGTGGGTGGGTTTTTAGAGAATAAAATGTTCTGTTCTGTTCTGTTCCATATTATGAACCAAACAACTCACTGGCTGCTTTTAAACTGAATTGTTGAATTTACTTTTCGATTTAAGGATATAGTGTGACGTTCGGGTATTGATTACAAAAATAGTATCCACTTGTTTCAAGATAAAGAGTTCAAGGAATATTTTCCGTCTGCTTCACGAACAAGAGAATCATGATCTATTATCCATGCCTTCCAAGATAAAGGGTCATAGAATAATTACGTTTCAGAGAGGCAATTTCATAAAATAGTTTCCGCGTGTTTTAAGATACACGTTTGTTCATCCTCTCCAATACTGTTTACTTCATACGAATGCAGTGTTGATATTATACTTCGTTAAACGCTATACAAGTGTGAAAGTACGTGTCATAATCTGCTTTTTTGAACCGATGTTTTATGGATCGGAGCCATAATAAAGTATACCCTTTCAGGCATATTTGTAAGATGCATTCGAATTGGTTTATTATCCTTCTGACCTAGACATATAACAGGTAAGTATATGTGTATGCACTCATCAGTGTCACATGGCTATGCGATTTAATGAAACGTACTGAGATTAGTTTCTTTTTTACTCCTGGTGGAAATCAGTTGCATATTGTATATCAGCTGTTGTATTGATACAGTTGTATCCGCAAAGTAAAGAAGCAACATGTATAAGAAGTAATATTATGGATGTCAACTTCTTCTTTATTGTATACACAACGTTTCAGGGCTTTTCTTTGCCCCTTCGTCAGGTAAAAATGACGCCTAGAAACGTTGTGTATGCAAGAAAGAAGAAGTTGACATCCATAATATTTTGTCATATACTTGAATACCAACTTGTGTATGCCTCTCAACCTCAAGAAGCACACATATCAACTGACTCTATGTTTTATACGCCGGCTTTAAAACTGACTTGTTCATCAGACAGTTCGACGTTGACAAGACAAGGACTGTACACATCCTTCTTCTAACTAAATCATAAAGCTGTAACACTTCGGCATGACATCTAATCAGGAAACTGCAGCAGACTTAAAAAATCCAAACCCAAAAAATGATTCATGAGCAGATGTATTTTAAACATACTTCAATTTCTTTTTGTTAAAGCCCGGAAAGCCTGGGGCTCTGATGTGTTAGGATTAAGTTATGTCTGGTCGAGAGGGTATTGACTTCCACGACATTGTGGGGATAGATCTTGACTGTTTCCTCTCTGAACTATGGTGAGGAACAGCCAGCCTAGTGGTTACAGAGTTCCGTCCTCACACCGAATGTCTGGGTGGTTTGCATTTGACTGTTGTTTAGTTATTAAACAGCCATCATCCGAGCTTGTCTATTACTCTCGAACACTCACAAATTCCACATGATAGGGGAGCTCAATGATTACGATAACGTATTCTTCATAAAACACAGCTTAATTATTTGTTCAACAAATGATCGTTAAGAAATAGCATGGTGTGGCTTGAAACCATTCGTGCATAGTGTTTTAGTGTTTTAATAAAACAGAACAGCACAATGCAAACATATTCAGGGACATAATCCAAATGGAAAAAAACATCGGCCTTTGCATCGTATTCAGATGCATGAATTACAATTCCTCATGCTGTGCCCTTACACATACACAAGCTGTGCCCTTACACATACACAAGCTGTGCCATTACACATACACAAGCTGTGCCATTACACATACATAAGCATTGTGTGGTAAACATGCCATAGCATGCCAAATCGAAACATGATACGAATTGCAAGTAACCTTTAATGTTTGTTTGTCTCCAAATAATGCTTATGTTGCTAACTCCAACAATATACACATATAATTGTGTTCCTCTTTTTAAAACCACCTGTCAACTCTAAACTTGTTTGCAGCTTTAGAGATGCACGTCCAGCTCAAACATTTACTCACTTGGCTATACAATATATACCTAGAATAAAGTGAAACACTACATTATTATTATATCTATTTATTCTGAAACTCCGGGTATATATTTTGTATATCTACCTACAACATCGAGCACATGTTGATACATGTCTTATATACCTCTGGCGGGGCGGTGGGGTAGCCCAGTGGTTAAAGCGTTCGCTTGTCACGCCAATAACCCAGTTTCGATTCCCCACATTGGTACAATGTGTGAAGCCCATTTCTGGTGTCCCGCGCCATGATATTGCTGGAATATTGCTAAAAGCAACGTAAAACCATAGTCACTCTCTCATACCACTGACAACCTCTGTTCGTTCAAGAACACCTATTTCTAAACGGTCTCCATAACGGAGTTATAGCATGCAGTCAAGATGCAGTCAATCATGGAATAGTAACAAAGTATGTCAGTAGATTAGGTTTCTGTATTTCAATACGAGAAGGAAACATTGTAAACAAAAGAAGTTAACGCTTTGAATAAATGCATATTTCATATGGATATATATCACAGCTATATTACGTCGAAGCCAGATGATAATCCATGTTGACATATCTGCGGAAATTGCATTTCACTGGAATCATGATAGTGGAGAAAATCGTTGAAAATGAGTAATGACACCAGGTGTTCTAGAAAAGGGTACACGATCCTGCTATTCTGCAGGTGTTCATCATGCAGTATCTATAACCAGGTAAATGTATAGTGCCAGGTATGACAGCTGCATGGCCCTTTGATCTGAGAAATGACAATATGACTGTTTTAGGGTGAAAACTGCTCAGGTCTCGACCCTTATGGGCGTAAATCTACAACCACATAAATCAGCTTTCACGATGAGCCTTACATCACATAAATATGCTAGACACACCTGTCGGTGCATATTAGTTCTCTGATAATATAAAATTCCTTCTTTGACCCCTTTGTCAAAAGGTGGCGCTATATGAGCATACGTATTCAGAAAGCTCTGAGATATTTAGTAGCGTGCAGTAGACTCGAGGGAAGGACAGTGAGGTTGGTTGTCTACGTATCTAAACTTCATGGTATTTTTTGTATCTTTACGCGTATGTTTTGTATGTTTCTTAAAACTGCAAAATGAAAGAATTTCAATCCTGCAGTCGATATTCCTTTGATGTGCCGTTACTTGATGTCGCGAATACTTGCTGTCGTCTGTCAGCTTCAGTCATCCATTCATATTATTTTCACGGCAAGTGTTTCCTTTATGCCAAACGGAATTTGTTTCTGAGGACGTGCAAGACTAGTTTCTTTTTTACTGACGTTCTGAAATCATAGCATTATCATAATAAACATTGAAAGAAGAACTCGATCATCGTCACTGTCATCGTCATCATTATCATCATCAGCCGTTGCAGCAACAATATTAGTGTCTGTAGTAGTAGTAGCAGTAGTAGTAGTAGTAGTAGTGGTAGTGGTAGTGGTAGTGGTAGTGGTAGTGGTGGTGGTGGTAGTGGTGGTAGCGGTAGTGGTAGAGGTAGTGGTGAGTGGTAGTGGTAGTGGTGGTGGTAGTGGTAGTGATGGTGGTGGTAGTGGTGGTAGCGGTAGTGGTAGAGGTAGTGGTAGAGGTAGTGGTAGTGGTAGTGATGGTGGTGGTAGTGGTGGTAGCGGTAGTGGTGGCGGTAGTGGTAGAGGTAGTGGTAGAGGTAGTGGTAGTGATGGTGGTGGTAGTGGTGGTAGAGGTAGTGGTAGAGGTAGTGGTAGTAGTGGTGGTAGTGGTGGTGGTGGTAGTGGTGGTAGAGGTAGTGGTAGATGCGGTAGTGGTAGCGGTAGTGGTAGAGGTAGTGGTAGAGGTAGCATCATCTGTGATAAATATTGCACTACATACCGTGAAGCTCCACTAATTGGCCACAGAATTTCAAGTTTCAATGACCATACTGTTGAATATCTCAATACTTTCAAAGGTTTGAGTTACGTGAGTCTGTACTGAAGAAACCTGGGTTTGTCGAGGGTGCCTTCGCTCTGTATAAACAAACAAAGGATGTAATTGCAATTGGTTTGTTTCAGGAATTGACAATGACCCCGTTCGTAGTTCTCTTGGTCTGGTCGTTTGTCAGATCCGCATCAAGCCAACGTAGGTATACACTGTACGCCTACCCTGTACAGCTTAATTTTTTAATGTCACAATTTATATTAATTTATTATTCAGTGAACATAAACAGACATTGATAAATGTAGTTTCAGAGCTACAGTGAACACACTAATATTATCAAGAGGATGTTTTCGTGCTCACAAGCCTTTCACCACAAATACCTGTTTTTACCCTGCACAGGTGTAGTTATGTGAATATTCATATGAATATACTATTACTGTTACAACCCTACGTACATAGATAATACAACACTAGTGAAAGAAAATATTCCTATGAATAAATAATTCATTAGAATCTAACGTTGTTGTTTTGCTCTTTTAATGTCATGAAATGCTATATATCATTAATTTGATAAAAATATATTATTCATATTTTATTTGTATTTCCATCGACAGGAATCTTATGGTCGGGTAGTGCAAGTGAGATAACCATTCCTCTTGATGGGACAGGACCTCATATATCTGGTATTCCAATCGGACCTCAGATGTCCGGGATGCCTCTGGCACCACAAATCTCGGTGCCAGTAGAGGTTCGATCACAGCCATGGCTCCGGAAACAAACATCCTTCCCAGTATCGCAGTCGTTCCCTGTCCAGTATCCTCACTACCCACTGCGCTTCCCCAAGGAATTCCCGAAATCGTTTGTTCCAAAACCTCAAATCCAAACTTCCCAGCAACCAATAAGAGTACATTACCCTCAAATGCATGGATACCAACATCTTCAGGAACAAATGAAACCATTCAACCCAAAACCATATTACGGAGCCCCGCTGTCTGACTGGAAAACTCGAGTCGGTGGAAACGTCTTCGTTGTTCCGTCGTCTCTCAAATACTGTGTACACAGATCCCATGATCCTCGCGGGATACCTCCGGGCAGTGAAGAGTGGAGATCTGTGGAAACCAAACTACCTTCCAGGACAAACGATCACGAATAATCTGCAAATACCCGGCGGTGGTGTCGTCCTAGCCGGAGACGGAAGTGATGCAACGGTCGCCGGCCCAACCGGAAGTTATTCAATTGATGGCGGTGACGTGGACAGGGTTAGTTTGGTATAAAAACTCAGTGTCATTTCGTTACGGAACAAGGTGAATATGTGCTCCTGTCAGAGGTTCGTTATATAACTGTTCTATACTGGCATGGTGATATGGACATTTAGACAGGTGTGAATGTATTATTTTTATGTTGTGTTACACCTTTGAAACCCGGACTGTATAACTGGAGAACTACCCTGGACAAACGAGACAACACAATTACACCGCACGTCCAGGGTATGTGTATGCATGACGTCTGCATTTCCACTTTGGAAAGGTCTGTTTTGTATTGGCTGTTGGTTCCGCCAGTAATAGTGTATCCGAATAGTGTTGAGCGTTGGCAATATGGTTCTGTCTAGGAATATTACTGCTCCACGGAGACTTGGCTACCAGTGTTTTGATTTTTGATGTCATAAAAATGTACATAATCTTTAAACGTTTCAGTGATTTTTACATAGATCTGAGCAACACGAAGTAGGCCGTTTTTCGTATTCCTATATTTAATCCCAGCGGTCATATACGACACTAAATTTCGGAAAAACCCAGGGGCGGTGGGTTAGCCTAGTGGTTAAAGCGTTCGCTCGTCACGCCGAAGACCCGGGTTCGATTCCAGACATGGGTACAATGTGTGACGCCGATTTTAGGTGTCCCCACCGTGATATTGCTGGAATAAGTAAGTACTTCGACTTATCAGAGGTTCGACACACATGCAAAATGACTTAACAGGAACACATGGCATTTACTTCGAGACTACCGTTCGTTTGACACATCAAACATCTACGGTGTTTGACTGTAAATATATATGTGTCAGGTGTACCCACAAATAAGTGAATATGGATTACAATCACAACACAGACTACTTTTTCATTGAAACACTGGCGTGTAAATGTCCCTGATGGGAACTGAAGAATTGTAAACTGAGAGTAATGTGGAAATCTTCTCTCAAGAGGACTGCCCACCAGATAGCCTCAGGTTGTATTTCGATAACAGTATACTTCAGATGAATGTGCCCACAGTTTGGGTGCTGTGCACATATGTATTTGCTTTCTTGAAGAATCAGTGCGTGCCACAACCTCTTTGTTGTCACTCTTTCAATGCTTCACGTAAACAATTATTCCCAGTGGTCAAACTATTACACATATATGGAAACATGAAACTGCAATAAGCAACAGTCCAGAATTGCGCCAAGTATGGAGGTTCTTTCAAATGGCCTTTTCTACTGAGGTCCACGTGGTTGGGTTGCTGCTTGCAAGTTTCTACACCTGTGGTTAAAGCAATGTCAGATTGTGTTGTCTTCAAGTAGGTCAATAATCAAAGACGTGTATACTACATGTAGATATGTTACTAGGCATGTACTTTGTATTTATAGAACAAGGCCATTCCAACCTGGACGATCAATTATGCATGGCATAACAATATTTAGACAGCTCGATTGCAACATGTTTGGAAACATATATCTTCAAAAAGTCATAGTGGTGCTCATAAAATCACCTCACAACTGTTTGTTATTTTTAACGCCGTATAGAGCCGTGTCCCAGCAATATGACGGCGACCTATTCGAGTTTGACCAGACACTTCAGTGATTAACACAATATGATTGGGATAAGATGGCATGTGCGATGAGTCAGTAAGCCGCATCAACCAGTCCCATTAGTGGCCTCTTACAACACTTGCAAAACATTGCTGGACACTAATTCTAAGTCAGATCTCCCAATTGTGTAGATCGATGCTCATGTTGACGTTGATCACTGGATTGTCTGGTCCAGACTCGATTATTTACAGACCGCCGCCATATAGCTAGAATATTGCTGAATGCGGCGTTAACAACAAACCAATCAACCAAACTAAGTCAGATCATCATGGGAAGCACCCTATTGCAAATATCTTGATACCAGTATTGTATTATGTATGTACACGCATGATTGTATTTGGACTCCGCTCAGCGGGTCGATCCTACTGTATCATGTTCTGAGAAAGCTGGACGCCCAGGGACACTGAATGATGTCAGCGTGGATTTGAACCTAACACATTACCAGAATCCAGCTTAATAACCATTAAGGTAGTACCTGGTCAAAACTGAAGCAATACATATTTGGGAGTAATTTGGAGCATTATCAATGGGCCATTACATTGTAATGATGTGGTTAGACATCTACGTTCAAGATACTTTCATCTACGTACATGATAATTATACCTACGTACGACATATTTTCATCTATTGAGAAGAAGATATCGTCTATTATCCATCGAATTTTCGACTTTTGGAACCGTAACCTCTAATTAATCGACAATAGTTCCGGGGACGTTGTTGGCAAACTGTGGCTAAATTGTGATTTTTACTTTCAACCTTAACATGGTTTTAGGTACTACCAGAACATTCAGTTAGGTACCTTTTAGTTAAAATTAAAATACACCAACACGACTCTAAATATTTAAATGATATCTAAACATTATATGATTGCAGAAACCATATCCAACTAAGCATCTTCACAAGGCAACATCACGGTCAGAGTAACGACACGCATGAGTGAGGTATCATGTAAGGATCATCAACGTAGATGAAAGTTTCTTCTGTGCATATTTAAGGTATCACCATTCGTAGATAACAAAAATATTTTACACTGTGTCGTCATCGAGATAAATATTGAGAGAATATCCAAGAATCCATTCTCGCGAGGCCTGAAACTGACATCACTGAAATGCCAAACAAAATAAATGTAATCTAACAATTGGGCCAAAATAATAAATCGATGCAGGCATGTTTATTACAATATGAATAATACTGGTTTCAGTTCATTCCTTTTTTTAAATTACATCCATTTTTGTACTACCAAGCTATTGCATCCTTTGCATAACTTTGATAACGACGGCAAATGAGCATCATAGCCTATTCAGCTGACAGGACCGCTTCGCTTATTCTTGTAACGAAGTAGTACTGAGGCATATCTCAGTGAAGTGTGTGTTTTTCCAAAATTGAATATGTTGAACGTTTTCACATTAAATGTATTTTGTAAATATGTTTTAGGTGTTGGGTATTATGTCTCAAATGATGAAGCTTTGGGTGAATGTGCTAGACATGGTCTGTTTATTGATTATCATAAACGATGTATTACATTTTGGTTAAAATTGTTATCAATGCCAACTGTTAGATATCCAAAACAATGTTATTTATTATGTAAATCATTGGATGAATGTAATCGTATAACATGGGCATCACAGGTTAAACATTTACTATTTAGTTATAGCTGTGGTTTAGTGTGGATCACACATGAAGTAGGTGATAAAAACATGTTTCTTAAAACCTTTGTACAAAGATTTAAAGACTGTAATGAACAAAGTTGGTACTCTAAAATTAGTGATTCAACTAAATTATGTAATTATAAAGAACATAAATGTCTATTGTCACTTGAATGTTATTTGTGTGCTATCCCAGAAAGACAATACAGCAGACTTTTATGTTTATTGCGTATATCTGAGTTGCCTTTAATGGTTAATATTAGTAGTCGGTGTGGCATTATCCGCTGTAATAGAATATGTACATTTTGTGCGTTATGTTGTGTAGAAGATAAAGTCATTAGATCACTTCCTTCTAAAATGGCCATTGTATGACTTTCTCAGATCAAAATATATATCAAGATATTATTGTAATTGACCTATGATGTTTAAGTTTACAACTCTTCTAACATGTAATAAAATACATATTTTGTTAAATGTTGCAAAGTTTATTAAGGACGCTCTATTTCTCAGAAATTCCCATCTGTTATTATAATGATATTTTGCATCATTTTGTACATGGATTTATACTGAATAACGAAATTGAATTGAGGCATATCCAATGATTGCGGTAAACAATTTTAATGATAACACACACGTATCTCAGTTGGTGTTGTTTTTCAATTCTGGACAACTGACTTCATATCTAAAGGTTCAAAATAAAGTAGACCAACTATGCAATGTGCAAACAGTTGTTTTAAAAGAGGGACGAATGTTTGCTTTTTTGATTCATATACTTGCAGAACATCAATGTAACGTGAAGGAAAAGTGCATGTATTTACATTTTGATGAATTACAATAACAAAACGTGATTCGGAGTGATATCAACACGCAAATAGTCTAAGGAAAAATTGGTTTACTGGCTGAGGTCAAGTGGCAAGTCGGCATTCCACACGTACACACTGTGTCTCCCTCTCATGCTTGTGATAAATGTCCTGGCACGTTTCCAAAAGTAGCGGGTTTTGCTGGAAACTGGAAACTAGCAACATAACGAAAATGTGTAAAATGCATTTTTCACACACACGTGGAGTTCGTCAAGGATGTACACTTAGTGGTCTGTTGTTTTCATTATCTATTAATTGCTTTAAAGTAACAACTATTTGTTGGTGATTTTGCATTATTGAAATGGTATTTGCCGACGATCTTATATTGGTGTCTGATCTGTCATCAAAGTTAGGAAAAACAAATAATCTGCTCCCAGAATATTCTCATGAATGTCTTTGAATGACATTTAGAAGTGAAACACATAAAGGGTGAAGTTTAAGGATCACATTTCACAGAAGAGGACATCTATAAAATTGCCCCTTTTAGCATTAATCAAATTACAGATAATTGTCGTTGATAGTTGGGGACTTCTTTGACAGTTGAAAAATGGAGTTATAACAGTGAACCTCTTGGTGCCGTTAGTTCTTATAAGTACCTTGGTTTAATGGTTACCCCAAAATTATTTGGGGTAATCAGCTTTCCGGGCACGTGAACAAAGTGTCAAAGCCCGCAATGATACATGTGGTCTCACCTGAGGCAAGTGAGTTCACAATTGCCTCAGTTCACCCAGCAGAAAATGGGTACCCGGTAAAATATGGTAACCTTCTAGCGCCTCACAGGCAGCTTGGGTTATCCGTGGTAATAATAATCAGACTTTGCGCTTTGAGCAGGATATGAAGCCTGGAAAGGCGTGTTATAAGTATTTTCATTATTATTTCCATAAATGACTTATTCAAACTATCTGAGAGCAAAATTGTGTCGATACGTATTTATGGTGTTCTTAAAAGGCATTTAGAAGCCTAATGATAATGAACACCTCACACGTTTTATGCATAACAACTTTCTATTCTATTCAGTATATTCTAGTTGTTGTCCATAACATGTATCATGTATTCACGTATTTATGGTGACGTAATATGTGAGTTAAAAGAGAAGGGAGGACAAGGCTAATAGGCAGTGTTTAGCAGTTTTACATTTATTTAAGTACTCGTGTTAGTAACCTAAATCCTGTTACATACGGCACACTTCCGCTTTTAGTTAAATATTTATGTCAATTGTATTCAGTTCTGGGACAGAAAATATGTGCGTCCAATGATAGTGACTATATACTCAGCAGAGTTAGAAAAAAGCTGAAAAGTACGTGACAAAAATGCCCGACTTGGGCTACTCATGTAACAAATCTTCTGTGGCACTAAGTTGAAAATTGTGTAATATTTCATGTGCCATTTTAGCCACATGTGGAGGATTATGCTGAACAAGATATATATATGACTGTAACCTCATGAATGCTACGCTTTGTGTTTATCTACATTTGAATGTAAACCCGCAATCTGTATGTTATAAATGGCTTTGTCAAAATGTATATAATGCCTGATATATTTCTTTTTACACAGAAAGTTGGCAAATGTAGATATGAATTAAATGATCTTAACGTTTTGTGTAAAATCTGTTTTGTCTTGACGATGAAAGTCATGCATACTTTATTATCCATGTTATGCAAAAAAGCACGTCATTTGTAGCCCCATGAATGCACAGCTAATTCTAATTCTATGTTAAATGCAGCAAGATTATGTCTTCAAATATAAGGTCATTAAAATGTGTCTATATATTTTAGATATTTGTGTTATGTGCCTTGGTCATAAGGTCTTCCATCTAAATATTGTAAACATGAATCTGTGGAGTAAATATGAATACATTAGGTATAATGGGCAAATATTACACGAAGTGGTAAACACCATCAGTGCAGATAGGATTGTGACTATAAGATTGTCATCCACACAACTTCAAGATGATTCAGACTGTGACTGATTTCGTTTTTGGATTCCTCTGGCTTCATTATGTTATGTTGTCATTGAAAACACCTGTATAGTGTAAATAACACACGATAAAAAAAGAAAATAAGTCATCCGTCACACACCTGCAATGTATTTCTTAAGAATCTGTTTACGAACGTGAGATGTTTGTAGAAGTTAAAAATTATTAACCCGTATATGCCATGTACATCTTACTTGACAGGAAACAAATGGATACATACATACACGGTGTATTAATAGAGAGGATACTGGTCTAAGACAGGGCTGTGACGTTACTCCGGAGCTATTAGGCCTCGGGTGATAAATTGTTTACCAACATCAATCTGACAGAATGTGGTGAGGGTAGGCGAAATTATGTCTTTTCGTGAGGTCAAGTATGGTACAGCGGCGTCTGAATCACCTCTACAGTGCAGTAATAGCGGTAGTGACGTGTTTTGCGCAGGTTTTTACGTCGATGTTTTCCGATATTTTTGTATAAAAGGGGATACGAGCGATACTATCTTCAGTCCACGAGTATTTGCTTTGTACTGCGGCAGAAGTTCTACAGACTCAAGCGTAAGTACATTTTCTTTTGTTTTTCATACACACTCCTCCATGCAAATATCAGCTGTTTTGTAGAATTTGTTTTTGGTATTATTATTATAGGATATTTATATAGCGCACATATCCAGGCAACTAGTGCATGCTCAAGGCGCTGGTATTTTTCCCTCGATCATTGGATGTCAATCTCAACGGCACATCGTATTATCAATCTCAACTCCCTGGGGAGTATACATCCTTAGAATATCCTTAGAATTAAACCTACAGTTTCAAATGCCAGAAGTTAACATACGTTCATGCAAGGTCTGAACCGTTTGCCATTGTAAATTTCAAAACAATCCAAAGATGGGATAACAATTTGAAAAACGCCATGTATCTTCCCTGGCTTTATTAAGATAAAGCTTCAAAAAGTATCTGAGGATGTAAACATGTGTTTGAAAGTTCGCAAGAAATATAGCAAAAAAAAGTTTAACCACAGGAAACTACTTCCAGTAAAACCTGGTACCAGTATATATTTGTCCCTCAATTCCAAACACAATCAACATTTGAGTATACAAAGAAAGCCATCCTCAAGTGTTTGAATCAGTTTCCTGTATTAGTGTTCGCTATTAATGTTAAAATTCAACTTATATTTGTTTTACTGGAACGGAGGCTGTTGAAGGTGTCTGTAGTTCGTGTAGTTTTCTATATCAAAAAAGGTAATAACCACGAGATGACTTATGAACTGTACATATATATTTAAAAGCCACTTGTCTACCCTGATTTAAGTCATACCTACCTTTCAGCAAAATCACAGACTATACCTTCCTATACAGCATAAACTGCGATCAGAGTTTCTATTTGATAAAACACCCCACCTTTACGATGGATTTATATTAACAGATCCGTTTGTTTGTAAAATCAATCTTTTTTCTTCCAGAAAAATGAATACTCTTCAAATTCTCGTAGTTCTTATGGCAGTATGCTGTGCAAGTCAAGGGAGACATATCCGTAAGTGTAACCAAGTTGACAAATCTGTTATTTGATTTGTGAATTATGCTAAATTATACACGAAACCTAATCGTATTATTCTGCCATCGTAAAGTACCTTGTTTTTATGTATGGTTGTTGTGTGTATGTTTAATCCCACAAATAAAACATCAAACATATATAATGATAAAAAAATTCATATTCCCATGTAACATAATATTGACCTCTCCGCGAACACCTGTGAGCCATCTCTGTATTTCATTGGTCCATTTATGTGACTTTCACAACTGTTTTGCCCTTTCGCCCAATGGATTCTGATTTGGCTGATAATCGAGGCGTTGACTTATGATACTTTCATAAAAGAGCTTCTATTTCCTATGATCTATTTTCTCATGTTTTGTTTGCAGGTTCCAGGCGTTTTGTAAACCAACCACCATCAGGTACGTTTTATACAAGGTCAAGAAATACAAATGAATATTCTGTCATAAAAGTCGAGCGGGTTTGTCTTTACGAATACAATAGGTATGCATAATAGGTGATATAGGTGACTAGAGATATACGTGATTACTTTGTCATATTACCTCACAACTTACATGTAACGGTGGGAAGACTGGTAATACATCATATATTACCCTACCCTACACTACGATATTAAAAGAACAAGGGGTGACGGAATGCTGAATATGATGTGGCTTGTTTGTGGTTCTTTCAGGTTTATTCCCGCCAGGCAACAATCATCTGGATATCCAAGCGATTATGGCACTCTTGAAGAATCCAATGATGATGAAAGGGCTTGGTCAGGTTAATAGTCAACAACAACAACAACAACCGCAGCAGCAGCAGCAACAACTAGGAACGGGTCAAATTCCACAAGCCGAAGTGACCCAACATACAAAGAATCAAGGACAAGTTCAGGGACAGACACCAACACAAAATGGAGGTCACGGTCAGCAAGGTCACACAAACAATGGTCAGACACAACAGGTCCCCGTCCCAGCTCCAGCTGCCAATACTCTAAAGACTGTCGATCCAATGCAGCAGCTTATGGGGTCTTCAAACATGTTCACCGACCCAATGTTTTTACAATACTTGGCGAGAAGGGTAAACATGATGAAGCCCAAATACAGGAGAGGAGACTTTATCCCCCAAAAAGGCCTCTTCCCGGGAGGATATGTGATATCTGCTGATGGTAGTGATGCTGAAGTGAGGGACATATATGGAAGGTTGCACTCAATTGATGGTGGCATTTTCCAAGCATAAAGCTTGTGCAGACATTTTCACATTGTGATAGATTTACAGGATCCGACTTTTCTTTTGCCTGCTGGACGGGCATATCACAGATCATACAATTAATGTAGATTCTCACTGCAATGCATCTCATGTACATACAAGTGTTTCATGGTCTATAAACACCGACTTCATCTTTGTCCATCAAAACTTTACATAATTTTGATAGAAGTCTCTCTTTTTTGATAAATAAAATTTCTGTTAAACATATTCATGTTCCTTGTTTCACTGATTTCATTGTCAATATGGCAATATTTATTTAATGCAACTTCACGTTATTTTCTAAATTGCTCAAAGCGTTGGCCAACGACTTTGGGGAAGTATGATGATATCGTTGTAAATTTATGATGCAGCGTTCAGTCTCCATACGCTGATCGAAAACAGCAGCTCGTGAGTAATTAGACATTCATCAAAGGTGCACAACACCACTGACTAATAGCCACAACAAACACCCTTTTTGACGATTCCACGATCATGTACATGTGCATATTCGTGAATAAAGACAACATGGTATATAGTTTCAACAGCTAATATATAGTGGTGTTCACATGCACTAAAGACTGACACATAATTCCTAATGAAATATTTCGGGATTAAGTTTTCTCTGAAATGGACCAAGTAATAAGAAATTATATTGGTTTCCGTTTCAGAAAGATTACTTTTAGTCAAAGTGAACTGTCTATAGTTTTCTAAATATTGGCCACATTTCGTAAGCATGATCAGTTTCATCAGTTAATTTCGTACCAAAGATAAAAGGATTTGAACCTAAGGCTTGTGAATAGAACTCAAGAACCAATAAGGTAGTACCTTGTGAAAACTAAATTCAAATATGGAAGTGTGCAGGGCACCACTGATGCAGGACAATTACATTGAAATGATGTATTCAGTTCACGATGCTAACATCCTCGTTGATGATACGGACACCTGCGTCGAGGATACGTTCATCTAAGTAGATGATATGTATATTTACGTTCATACTATGATCTATTCAGTAGACTACTAAAACCATAATGTCTTTAGTAAAATCTAATATAGGTCCGGGTCTGTTTCATGTAGCATATGGCTGAGATAATAATGATTTTGTACTTTCAAATTTAGTTTTTTATTGAGGTACTATCAGAACATTGAGTGAGGTAGTTTTTCATCAAGATGTTTTGAATGAATGAATGAATGAATGAATGAATGAATGAATGAATGAATGAATGAATGAATGAAATACATAAATAAATAAATCGTGTACATTACAGCATAAACTATATCTCACTGAGAACCTCCACAAGGCAACATCACTGCCATGGTAATGACACTGAATGATATAAGGAGTTTTAAGCATCATCAACGAAGATGAAAGGTTCTTCTACGCAAATTAAATATCTTCATTCGTTGATGCCAAAAATATCTTAAACTGTGTCACAAATATGCTTCTATAGTATCGAGAGAAGAATGTTGAGAAGAATGACAAAGTCGTCATTGAAATGACAAACAAATAATTGTACAACATAACAATTGTGCCAAAACGTTAAATCAACACAGGCATGTTTATTACATTATGAACAATACTGGTTTAAGTTCATTTCTTGTTTTAAATTTCACCCAGTTTTTTAATACTGTCATGCTTTTACACGCTTTACACACTAAATTCACGTCCTATTCAGCGGACGTGTCCGCTTCGCTTATTCTTGTTATAAGGTGGTGCTTGGGCACATCCCACGTAGTTCAGTTATATGTATAAGACTAACTCGGGACAACCAACATCTTCTCTAAATGTTTAAGATAAAGTAGACCAACTATGTCAGGTGCAAACAAATGTGCAAACAAGAGGAATGAGAGTTTGCTTCTTTACTCATAGACTTCCAGAACACCACTACAAATAGACCAGAACATGCATGTATTTAAGTTGTTATTAACTAGAATAACAAATGAATTGAGAATGTTACATCAACACGAAAAAGGAAACTATGCTTTCATGGCTGATGTCAACTGGCCAGTTAGCATTCCGCACAGGAAAGCAAAAGTAACTCTGCATAACATAAAATTGCATAAAATGAAAGTTATTTGAAAAGTTATTAAAACAACCCTAAATAAACTTGAAGGAAGCACTTTGTTATCACGTATCGCGCGTGGCACGTGCACTTTGTGCACAATGAACTTACTTACTTTTTGTATGTTTTTTGACACCTGATATTGAAAATAGAAGAGCGGTTAATTATTCTCTTGCCTCTGAATGTTATGGGTAACACATTAATTTCAATCTCAACTGCACGTACTTCAGGCCACGGTTTACGGAAAATCGGCGTCTCCGCTCTGTGGGTATGCTGGAGACTGCAATTGCCCAAAATGAAGTGGCCAGACAGTTTGGAGTCCATCGGAACACGTGTCTGTGGAAACGTTTTCAACAAAATGGGAACACGAGAGATTTGCCTCGGACTGGCCGTCCACGCGACGCGTGACATCACGTCAGCAAGACAACCACGTTCGGCTGACCCATATATGGAATCGAGCACAGACTGTCAGTTTGCCTGCTCGGACCATTCCTGGAATACGACCAATCAGTTCCAGAACTGTACGGAACCGACTGAGGGAGCACAACATCTGGCCCCGACGGCCTGCAATACGTCCAATCTTGCTCCACGTTGTGCCTGGTGCAGACAGCTTCTACAATACAGGAGACAAGACTGGGATGCTGTTTTGTTCACTGACAAGTCGAGATATCATCTGGACAGCACGGGTGTACAGAAGCCGAAGTGACTCGTGCGTTGTTCAACGTTGGCAGTTTGATGGCGGAGTGTTATGGTATGGGGAGTCATCACATCTCATGGTCGGACACATCTTGTCATTTTCAATGGCAGTCTGACAGGTCCGCGATACAGGGATGAGATCATTAGGCCACATGTGCAGCCGTTCATTCAAGGACAGAGACGACACGCTTCAGCAAGATAATGCTCGTCCATAGGTGTTGTGACAGATGCCCTGAGAAAGCAGAGCATTCCGGTACTCTCCTGGCCAACTGTTTCCATCCCCTATCGAGCACACGTGGGATGCAATGGAGCAATGTTAACGTCAAGTTCAAAATCACCCATTGACGTTTGCTGAATTTCGGACAAGCGTTGGTTCAGACATAGAAACACATTCCCCAAGCTTTCTTCATCAATCGCCTTGTGTCGTCTATGTGTCGTCGTTGTCAAGGCTGCATCAACGCCAATGGCGGACACACGATACTGAATTTGTAGACTGACTTTTGACACCACATATCTTCAAGGGCGTGTTGCGATGATTAGTGGCAAAGCAAAAAGGATTTCAATATTATCCTGCCAACAGTTAAACAGTGATAAAGGACGACACCACGAATCATGTTATTATCTTTTTACATTCAAAAATGGCGTTACATCAAATACTGTACAGTTACTTCCTTCCAGTAGAATACATTCTATTCGGGTAATAATTTTGAACATGTATAATTATATGTTAAATAAAATATAAGTGAAATGTTATGTGCCGAAGACGTAGTGATGGTATCCAATCTATCATCAAGCAAAGGGAATATAATCTGCTCTCAGAATATTCTTTTAAACGTAAATGGTGATCAAAATTATGAGAGTGTTTGAATGGAAATTAGAAGTGATACACAATGTTTGTTTATTTTGGCTTTACGCCGCACCCTATATGACGGCGGTGTGTAAATAATCGGGTCTGGACCAAACGATCCAGTGACGTTTATGGATACAAAAGTTGGTATGTATACATTTTCCCCTTTAGCATAATCGAATTAAATAAAATTGTCGCACATATGCACACAGTGTATTAATATAGAGGACAATGGTCTTAGACAGGGTTGTGACGTTACCCCAGAGCTTTAAGGCCGCTGGTGATAAATTGTTTACCAACATCAATCTGACAGAATGTGGTGAGCGTAGGCGAGATGATGTCTTTTCGTGAGGTCAAGTATGGTTCAGCGGTGTCTGAATCACATTAACAGTGCATAAATTGTGGCAGTGACGTGTTTTGCGCAGAGTTTTACGTCGTCGTTTACCGATATTTTTGTATAAAAGGGGATACCAGCGATACTATCTTCAGTCCACCAGTATTTGCCTTCGTATTGCGGCAGCATTTCTGCAGACTCACAAGTAAGTACATTTTCGTTGGCTTTTCATAATACATCTCCATGCTAATATCACATGTTTTGTAGAATATCCTTAAAATTAAACTGACAGTTATTATTCCATTTCAAGTGTCACAAGTGAAAATACTTTCATGCTAGCTAGGAACACGGATCAAGGAATGTATCTGAGCATGTAACATTTCGTATGAAAGTTCGCAAGAAATATAGTAATGCTGAGAAAGTTTGTCCCTCAATTGCAGACACAATGAACATTTGAGTATTAAAAGAAAACCACCCCAAAATGTCTTGCATCGGTTTCCTTTATTAAGGTTTGTTATTAATGTTTTCCTGGAACGGAGGGTGTTAAAAAGTCTCCAGTTCGTGTCAGTGTATAATCGAAGACTTAATAACCAAGAGATGACTATATGAACTGCACATACATATATAAAATGAATTGATCTGCCCTGATAAAAGTTCTAAGTAAAATCACATTCCATACCTTTCTTTACAACATAGACTGCGATCCTAGTTGATAACACACCCCACACGTATGATGGATTTACATTAACAAATGTGTTTGTTCTTCCAGCAAAATGAATACTCTTCAAATTCTCGTAGTTCTTTTGGCAACATGCTGTGCAAGTCAAGGAAGAAATATCCGTAAGTGTTACCAAGTTGACAAATCTGTTGCGCGAATTAATGTTAAAACAAAACCAAATGGTATTATTCTGACATCGTACATGTAAAATACCTTGTATTTATGTAGGGTTGTTGTGTATGTGTTTAATGCCGCGAAAGAAACATCATACATTATCCCCATGTAACATAATATCCCCGTTTACGGGAACACCTGTGTGTCATCACTGAATTTCAGTAGTCCATCAATGTTACTTCCACAACTGTTTTGCTTTTTGCGCCTAATGGATTCTGATTTGGCTGATAATCGGCGTTGACTTATAATACATTCATAAAAGAGGTTCTATTTCCTGAGATGATATTTATTCCTGTTCTATTTGCAGGTTCCAGGCGTTTTGTAAACCAGCCACCACCAGGTACGTTTTATACATGGTCAATACATAAATTGTATATTCTGTCATGAGAATAAGGAAAATTGCGTATCGATAATCTAGCGAGTGTACTCGCTGGTGTGGCTTGTCTTTACAAATAATATAGGTGGGTAAAGTGTGATGTAACTTCGTGTTCAAGATTATATCACTCATGTTACGACGTGCAACCACGTGATTATGTGTACATGACTAGGGCATTTCTGTACTCGTCTACTCTATGCCGGTTTACGACAACGAGCCCTTGGGATTCCTCATTCGGACACAGAATACTGACACAGTCCAATGGTACTTTTGTTTAGCCCTAATGCTTCTTAGCCCTAGTACTTGTCGGACAGTCTAGTCTACCTTTAGAGGCGGTCACTAGAGATGTACGTGATTACTTCGACATATTACCCTTCAGCCTGCATATAACGCCGGGAAAACTGGAAATGTAATAAATTATACAGTGACAATACGATATTAAGAGAACATAGGCATACAGAATGCTGAGTATTGTGTCGCTGTAAAACCTTCTTTGTGGTTCTTCCAGGTTTATTCCCGCCAGGCAACAACCATCTCGATATCCGAGCGCTTATGGCACTCTTGAAGAATCCAGTGATGATGAAAGGGTCTGGTCAGGTTAATAGTCAACAGCAACAACAACAGCAGCAGCAACAACAGCAACAACAACAACAACAGCAGCAGCAACAACAACTAGGAACGGGTCAAATTCCACAAGCCGAAGTAACTCCTCAATCAGCCCAAAATCAAGGTCAACCTCAACCTGAGCCTCTTCCAACCCAGACGAAACCTCAAAACCCGCCACTGACCCAACATACAAAGAATCAAGGACAACTCCAGGGACAGACACCAACACAAAATGCAGGTCAAGGTCAGCAAGGTCAAACAAACAATGGTCAGACACAACAGGCCCCTTTCCAGCTCCAACTGCCAATACGCCAAAGACTGTCGATCCAATGCAGCAGCTTATGGGGTACTCAAACATGTTCACCGACCCAATGTTTTTACAATACTTTCAACAATTCATGAGAAGGGTAGACAGGATGAAGCCCAAATACAGGAGAGGAGACTTTATCCCCCCAAAAGGCCTCTTCCCGGGAGGATATGTGATATCTGCTGATGGTAGTGATGCAGAAGTGAGGGACATATATGGAAAGTTGCACTCAATTGATGGTGGCATTTTCCAAGCATAAATCTTGTGCAGACATTTTCACATTGTGATAGAATTACATGATCCGACTTTTTGTAGCCTGCTGGACAGGCATATCACAGATCATACAACTACTTTAGATTCTCACTGCAATGCATCCCATGTACATAGACGTGTTTCATGGTCTATAAACACCGCTTCATCTTTGTCCATCACAACTTTACATCATTTTGATAGAATTTTGTTCTTTTTTGATAAATAAAATCTCTACTAAACATATTCGTGTTTATTCTTTCATTGTCAATATTGCAATATTTATTTCATGTATTTACCTTTTTCATGTCATTTTCTAATTTGCTCACCGCGTTGACCAACGCCTTTGGGGAAGTATGAGGATATTATTGTATAGTTATGATGCAGCGTTCAGTCTCTATACTCTGATAGAAAACTGCATTCATCAGAAGGACACAACACCAATGAATAACACACACAACAAACACCCATTTGAGGATTCCACAATATCATGTGCATAAGAAGTGGACGACGTTTATTCTTGAATAAAGGCAACATGGTACATAGTTTCAACAGCTAATATATAGTGGTGTTCACATGCACCAGAAGCTGACGCATAATTCCTAACGAAATGATTTGGGATTAAGTTTTCTCTCAAAATGGACCAAGTAAAGCGAAATTATATTGGTTTCCGTTTCAGAAAGATTACTTTTAGTGTACATTCGATATGTTATGATCTATTTAGGAGAATATGAAAACCAAAATGTTTTTAATAAAATCGACAATAGTTCCTGGTCTGTTGTATGTAGCCTACAGTTTAATAAATATTAACTTTCTACTTTTAAATTTAGTATGTCTTCTATTGAGGTACTATCGGAACATTGAGTAAGGTAACTTTTCATTCAGATGTGTTTGAATTTTGATAACGGAATATACATGACTTTATTTTAACGCTGATAGTTAAATTTGAAATGATTTCATAAAGGTTAATATAGAAAGGTCAAATTAAAATACACCAATATGCTACTGTACATTTCAATAAATACATAAATAAATAAATAAATAAATCTAGTACATGATGGCATATACTATAGTCAGCAGCAAAAAAAATGTCAGTACGAATTCAAAATTTGATAGGCACTGTAATCAAATCATTACGGAAATGGACACAATAAGCGGATCAAAACCATTTTTTGTGTACAATATCTTGACACATCAGTGAATAACTCAGCAGAATAACTTCAAGACATTACGTGAACGTTTGCAGTCCATTCAGACTCTTGACTTCAGTATCTAGTGTGACCACAACGAGCGGCAATAACTGCAGCACAGCGTCTATGCATGGGGTGCACCAATCGATTGATGAAGGCCACTGGCACCTGGAAACACACTCTGTGAAAGGCCTGGCGCAGAAGATCGTCTGTGTTCGGCCTTGGTATGACATTATTCAGACTCCGCTGAATTTCATCCCAAAGATGTTCAATTGGGTTTAAATCAGGACTAAGGGCTGGCCACTGCATAATGCTGACACCGTTCTGCTGTAGGAAGTTCCGTGTAGCTCTGGCAGTATGAGCCCGTGCGTTATCATGCTTGAAAATGTTGTTCCGGTGACGTGCGAAATGTGGTATGACTCGGGGTCTGAGAGCTTGGTCGATGTAGCGCACTGCTGTGATGCCGCCTCCTCTCCCTGGACCAAGGTTCTGGAACACCACAGCATCCTTTCTCTGGTTCAGGCCTATTCCACCCCATACCATGATACTTGCACCTCCCCATGAGTCGCTTTCCTTAATACCTTGGTCCGAGTAACGCTGGCCACGTCGTCGCCATATTCTTGTTCTGCCATCTGCAGTTGATACGCAGTACCTACTCTCATCTGACCTGGAAGTGATTGGCAACGGCTTGTGCAGTGTGGCCAGCTTCAAGTCTTCCTAGCGCCTGGTTCCTATCAGCTATCATGAGTCGCGGCATCCTGCTGACGTTGTAATGTGAATGTTTCAACCAGGTTTGGGGGGTGCATTTTATAGGGCTGGTCCTTGTGAACAGCACGTGCAGCATGAGTTGCATGAAAAGTTTGGGAAGGAATGTCTTTGCTCAGGTAAAGTTGGAGATGTTGTCAAAATATACAATCAATACAATATACATTAAATTCCAAACTGACGTTTCTTTTGCTGCTTAGTATTTATCCCACTGAGAAACTCCACAAGGCCACATAACGGCCAGGGTAACGACACTTTATATATGAAATTTTAAGTATCATTGATGAAAATGTCTTCTACGCATGTTGAAGGATCATTATTCGTTGATGTAAATAATATGTTAACTTTGTCCCCAACATGCTTCTATAGTATCGAGACTCTATCCAAAATAAATATCCAAGAACACTTGTCGTCATTGAAATAACAAACACAATATGTGTACAATATAACAATTGTGCCAAAACGTTAATTCAACACATGCTTATTCCAATACCAATAATACTGGTTTCAGTTCATTCCTTGTTTTAAATTACATAGTAACTTTGATAACGACGGTAAATGACCGTACTAGCATATTCAGTGGACATGGCCGCTTTGCTTTTTCTTGTTAGGATGAGCTGCGTAGACACATCCCATGATTGCGGTAAACCATCTAACAACACGCACGCATTTCCTTTGTGGATGTGTATATACATAACCGACAAATAGTGGGCAACTAACATCTTCTCTAAACGTTTAAGATAAAGTAGACCAACTATGTCAGGTGCAAACAATTGTTTAAACAAGAGGAATGAGAGTTTGCTTCTTTACTCATACACTTCCAGAAAACCACTACAAATAGACCAGAACATACATGTATTTAAGTTGTTATTAACTAGAATAACTAACCAACTCAGCTTGCTGGCTGAGGTCAACTGGCCAGTTAGCATTCCGCACAGGAAAGCAAAAGTAACTCTGCATAACATAAAACTACATAAAATAAAAAGTTATTTGAAAAGTATTTAAAATAACCCTAAATAAACATGCAGCAAGCACTTTGTTATCACTTATCGCCCGTAGCACGTGCACTTTGTGCACAATGAACTTACTTACTTTTTGTATGGTTTTTGACACCTGAAGTTCACACACCTGATATTGAAATTTGAAGAACGGTTAATTATTCTCTTGCCTCTGAATGTCATGGATAATGCGTTAATTTCAACCTAAACTGCGCTTACGTCATGCTACGGCTTACAGAAAATCAGCATCTCTGTTCCGTGTGTATACTGGAGACTGGAATGGCCTAAAATGAAGTGGCCAGACATTTTGGTGTCCATCGAAACACGTCTCTATGGAAACGTTTTCAACATAATGGGAACACGAGAGATTTGCCTCGGACCGGCCGTCCACGCGACGCGTGACGTCACGTCAGCAAGACAACCACATTCGGCTGACCCATATATGGAATCGAATCAAGACTGCCAGTTTGTCTGCTCCGACCATTCCTGGAATACGACCAATCAGTTCCAGAACTGTACGGAACCGACTGAGGGAGCACAACATCGGGCCCCGACGGCTTGCAATTCAATTTTGCTCCAACGCCACAGACAGACATGTCTTGCCTGTTGCAGACATCATCTACGTGACAGGAGACAAGATTGGGATGGTGCCTTGTTAACTGACGAGTTGCGCTTTCATCTGGATAGCTCAGATGGCAGGGCAAGGGTGTACAGACGGCGAAATGAACGGTATGCTGACTTGTGCATTGTTCCACGTTGACAGCGTTATGGAATGGGGAGTCATCACATCTCAAGGTCGGACGGAGCTTGTCATTTTTAATGGCAATCCGACAGGTCTGCGATATCTTGATAAGATAATGCCCGTCCCCATGTCGCTACTGTGACATATTTCCTGAGACAGCAGAACATTGCGGTACACTCCTGGCCAACTGTTTCTCCGGAGCTGTCCCCTTTAGGGTACGCTTGGGCTGAAATTGTGCGACGTTCTTGCAAGCCCAAAACCATGGACCAACATTATCCAAGCTTTCTTAAATCTCTTAGTGTCGTCTATGAGTTGTTGTTGTCAAGCCTGCATCAACGCCAATGGTGGACACACACGATACTGAATTTGCAAAGTGACACCACATCTCTTCAAGGCCAAGTGTCAATTATCTTGTCAACAGTTAAACAGTGAAAGTGATGGAAATAACAAAACAATCATGTTAATTTTTGCATTAAAAAATTGGCATTGCATACAACATTGCACATGTATTTGACTGAATGTTGTCTAACGCCGCACTCTGGACCAAACGTTCCCATGAGAAGGGTGAGGGATAAAGGGCGGGGGGATATAGAAGTTAATATGTTATATGCCGAAGATGAAATGTTATATTCTGAAGATTTGGTAATGGTATCTGATCTATCATCAAGCAAAGGAAATGAACTCTGCTCTCAGAATACACTTTTAAACGGAAATGGCGATCAAAATTATGAAAGTGTTTGAATGGCAATTAGAAGTGATACACATAATGTTTGTCTGTTTAACGCCGCACTCTATATGATGGTGGTGTGTAAATAATCGGGTCTGGACCAAACGATCCAGTGACGTTTATGGATACAAAAGTTGGTATGTATACATTTTCCCCTTTAGCATAATCGAATTAAATAAAATTGTCGCACATATGCACACAGTGTATTAATATGGAGGACACTGGTCTTAGACAGGGTTGTGACGTTACCCCAGAGCTTTTAGGCCGTTGGTGATAAACTGTTTACCAGCATCAATCTGACAGAATGTGGTGAGCGTAGGCGAGAAGATGTCTTTTCGTGAGGTCAAGTATGGTACAGCGGTGTCTGAATCACATTAACAGTGCATAAATTGTGGCAGTGACGTGTTTTGCGCAGAGTTTTACGTCGTCACTTACCGATATTTTTGTATAAAAAAGGGATACGAGCGATACTATCTTCAGTCCACCAGTATTTGCCTTCGTATTGCGGCAGCATTTCTGCAGACTCACATGTAAGCACATTTTCGTTGGCTTTTCATAATACATCTCCATGCTAATATCACCTGTTTTGTAGAATATCCTTAAAATTAAACCGACAAGTATTTCCATTTCAAGTGTCACAAGTGAAAATACTTTCATGCTAGCTAGGAACACGGATCAAGGAATGTATCTGAGCATGTAACATTTCGTATGAAAGTTCGCAAGAAATATAGTAATGCTGAGAAAGTTTGCCCCTCAATTGCAGACACAATGAACATTTGAGTATTAAAAGAAGGCCACCCCAAAGTTTCTTGCATCGGTTTC